CGGAAATTTTTGGTAAAATCGATAGGTACGCAAACTCCTGTGATTTTCTTGAGCCCCGTAAGTCTCTGTTAAACTTCAAAGCTGTTTTATCACATTTATAAATGTATATATATACATGATATACATCGAGTCCAACGGAAATGATTTTTTATGCCCCCAGATCGAAAGATCCCGGGGGTATATTGTTTTTGTCCTGTCTGTCTGTTTGTCTGTTTGTCTTTTTATCTGTTTGTCTGTTTATCTGTTTGTCTGTTTGTCTGTTTGTCTGTCTGTCTGTTGTCAACTTTAACCTTGCCCATAACTTTTGATTGATTGGAGCTATGACTTTCATATTTCACATGTGTATTCCTTGTGACAAGACCTTTCCTTGAGTACCATCATATTTGACCTTTTGACCTTGACCTTGGAGTGTGACCCACTTTTGCAAAATTTTATGAGACATTAACCTTGGCCATAACTTCTAAACAGTTGGTGCTTGGGGTTTCAAACTTCACTTGTGTATTTTCTGTGACTAGGCCTTCCTTTGGATACCAACAACTTTGACCTTGACCTAGGAGTTTGACCTACTTTTGAAAAACTTTAACCTTGGCCATAACTTTTGAACAGTTGGTGCTTGGGGTTTCAACCTTCACTTGTGTAATCCTTGTGACAAGACCTTCTTTTGGATACCAACCACTTTGATCTTTTGACCTTAACCTAGGAGTTTGACCTACTTTTTATATAAAAATATATACTTTGAAGTAAGAAAAATACACTTCCAAGTAACCGAGTACCATTTTTAGTATTCGATACTCGGACGTTCGATAGAGTACCCGGTTAACCGCGTACTCTTTGACATCCCTAATACATAATCAGTACTTTTGATAACAGGATCCAACCTCCTTAAACTTTGTTTCTGTCTATGGTGACAATGCAGAATGCCCATAATGTTTGGGGGTCGTCAGAAAGTTATCTATGTCCTTGATACATGTATCTCGTGTATGTTTTATGGTTTTCCTTTCAAAATTGAATTTTAATATGTAAAGTATACAGATCAAGCATAAACATAATAAAACTAATGCCTTTTTTCTTTTTTATTTAAATATTAATTTATTGAGGGGGGATATGAATAGAATCAATTCAAAAAAAAAATGTCCGAAAAAGTATATTTTGTTACGATTAACCGATTAATCGGTTGGAACGTCTTACGGTTAACCGATTGGCAATTCTGAATTCGATTATATATATACATATATATATATATATATATATATATATATATATATATATATATATATATATATATATATATATATATATATTAAGGATGTCAATTTCATTCGGACAGCTTCGTCGAATAGTCGGGGGCTTTGGTTGAACGATAGTCGAATATTTGTTGAAATTTGAATGAATTTCCCATGTCATTTTTACCATTTGTCTTTTATAGACTACTTATACAATATTTAATCTACGCTAATCTAAGCTATCGCCATTTTACAACGAATTTCTGAATCGTAAATATTTACGTAGTAAAACCTACATGTATCCAATTTATTTCATTTCAAATATAATATTCACTGCACATTTTATCTAAATGTAGGATATCGAACGCTCGCATCTGTCTATTCTTTTTATAACGCTAGTACAAGTACCCGTTAATTGAAACCATTTGTACGTGTGATGTCGGTGACCTGTGACTGGTAAACAATTAAAGCTTATAAAAACAGAGAGAGAGAGAGTATGTGTGTGTGTGAGAGAGAGAGAGAGCTTGTGATAAATTATGAGATTTTGTGTAAACAATCAATACAATCCTAATATGACTGCATGATATATCAGAAAGAAACACAATTTAATTACGCTCAAACCTGTTCCCAAATTTTCATGTGTTTACAATTATGTGGCAGCTGTTTAATTATTCTTTATGAATAGTTGCATTACGTCAGATCTTATGGAATTGCAGGATGAAACTTTAAAATTGGAATCTACAAAACCAATTAATTCTTGAACGTCCTCTCCATTTACAACAATAAGAGGTAGACAGTCCTTGATAATCATGTTTCTGATAGCACCTTTTTTTCGGCTCTGTACTTTGGCGTTTTTGCGGAGAATTAACTAGGAAAGTTTCACATGAAGAATTTAATATGTTTGACGGATTCGGCATATGAGACATCATATTTGATGTTTCACTGCAGAATACAAGTTCAGTTTCAACTAACCGTGATAACATACATTAAAATGTTTTCCCATCATGACATCTTTTAAAGTATGCTCAAACTGTAGATTTTGGAGGCATATTTGCCGAAAATAAATTGACATACCGGTTCAAATAATTTCCTTTGAACAGTTAAGCCTTACCCTGAGTTTTATGCACGTGAACATTGAACTGTTTATAAATGAATAGGGCGGATCCAAGTTTAAAATTACTATTAGGTAGCAAATTTTTAACGAATAATCGAGTAAAAGAAATTAGTCGATAGTCGGTATGATCGAACGATAGTCAAGTACTCGAATATACCTTGACATTCTTAATATATATATATATATAAAACTTTAAAACACTTTTCTGAAATATTCCAACTGTGTTACCGGCCTTTATTAGTCGTGTTTATCTCACGAAATTTTTACGACAGAAGAAGATCGATATCACGGTTGAAATATTTAAAAAAAGTGATTTAAAGGGTTTTTTTTATTCTATTACCAAAATAGAGACTTTGGAGATGGCTCCCACACAACATTATATAAATGGGAAGAACATTTAATTATCTGTTCCCGAACATATGTAAATGTTCACTTAGTTGAATTTGTCTATATTCTGGATTATTTATTTTCTGTTTGTGGAAACGTATCCGAGCCCTCAGTGTGTTGCTTGTTTCTCCGATGTTAAATTCTTTACATCCCAGGCATGTTATAACATAGATAACATTTCTGGTATTTGCAATTTACAATTACGTATAGTATGTTTGTATATTGTAATTTTTTATATTTTTCTCAAAACTCAATCGTAAAATTGTGTGCATATCTTGAGGGTGTTTAAGAATAATCTGAAGTTACTTGATGATTAATAACAAAAGCATAACCTTTACGTCTTATATCATGCAAGCACAAGTAAAAATTTTGCAGAAATCCACATACATAACAGGGACATACCTTTTTTTTGCTTCATGACTGTCAAAATTATAGCTACCTAAACATAGAAAGAAGTAGTGTAAAAGTACCCTTTCTGGCACAGATACTTAACATGGGGCTCCACAGTGGAGCTGTGGAGCCAATGACATCATCAATCACCATGGAGACAAAAATCAATCTGCATGCTTGAATGATTTAAAACAATTGGTCATTGAATCAAAAGAAGAGATCGATAATCCTGTGACGTCACTGAGTATTATATCTTGAAACAATAGGTCATAGAATTGATTGTATAGAATGGAACAAAAGCAATTTCTTTAACTAGAATGGGAAATTCCGCAACGTCATGGGAATAAATGACGGTCATTATTGAAGGAAACAAAAGATCAGACGAGACCCTTTAAACGATAAAGTCAATAAAGGGATCGCAAAGGGCCTTTTGTGATCCCTAATGGGTTTTTTCCATGACGTAAAAACTCTGTTGTACTATCGATTAATGGTGTATTGAAAATGTGAACAATGAAGGTTTAAATATGGGACGGTGTTGAATGAGACATTTAAATGGGGCATCAGTCAACCGAAACATTACAGGTAGAAACATGTCTCAATGAACATGGGCATTTAAATGCTTCAAGCACCCGCACACAATACATTTAAACTCTTTTATTCAATTTATACATTATAGGGATTGTAGTGAAAGACAAATCTAAATACAATACGGCAGCACTGGTCCGAAATACTACAGGTATACACATGTCTTAATAAACATAAGTACAATTTAATTTCTACTACATTCTCATGTCCTCGTGATAATCTCAGGATGGAGTACAGGAGTAAGAATACTACTCTTAGATTTGTCGCAACTTTAAAACACACAATAAAACAAGACCACAATTATCATACTTTTTATTCAGCATTTTCACATACTGAGAGCTAGTAGGAATTTATTGGAAGTTACTTTCATGCCATAGTGATTACCAAGTCTACATTGTAAATGAGCGCATTACCATATACAAAGGAAGCTGAATAGTTTTGACAGACATTCAAATATTAAACCTTATGAATCGGGAGAAATCTTTACACATCTATAAATAAATGGTTTGGAATTTCCAAATGGAAAATTACCAATTTTAAAAGGAATGTTACTCGGGTAATGACGTTTAAAATGAGGTAATAACGAAGAAGCCAATCAGACAACTTGTTTTTCAAATATCACCATGGAGATTGTTACAGTATAAATTGATGAACTGCATACTTATAAATCAAATGTGTCACATCTGCGAAAGAAGTAGCACCTAGTAACGTGTTTAAGAAGAATTGCATTGTGGTTCAATTGTAGGGAGTGGAAAATTATATCTAAATGAGGTAGGAACTATTTTAATAACTTATGAGAGTAATTAAAAGGATTTGTTAAATAATGCAATTTCTTGTGCAATGCAAATGAAAAAAAAATATGATCAAACCTAAAATTACTGCAATGCAGTATTGTCATTTTTAGTTGGAAGGGGGGCTTAAAAATATACGACACACAGAATCTTCAAACAGCTGTTTAATGTTTGGGTTTTCCAGATGAGTAATTTCACAAAGTTTCTATTTCACTCTATTGTTAAAAGGTCTCAGCCGCTCAATTTCGCCATTCAATTGTGAGATTTAAAGGCTTCATAATCGAACGGTCGAGTAAACAATTTTACTAGGATTTGTTTTTGTTTTCAATTGCACTAGCAAGCTATGCTTGATTTTATTTGATACGTACATATGCATATATGAAATGACATATAAAAAGTTTATTTAATCAATAGGAATTTATTATTACAATTGCAATGTATTTGTCATATCTATGAATGTTACCGTTTTTACAGGGAAAAAACATGCCTGCTGATCAGTTTCTCTGTGAGGATTGTGGAAAGTATTTCACTCGAATATCGAATTTAAATCGACATCAGTGAACTACACATGGATCAGAATCCTCACGTTGTCCGACATGCGGTAAAAGCTTTAACAGAAGGGATAGCTATTTACGTCACATTAGAAGTCACTCCAGAATTTTAGGTCGGGAATCCCAACATGGCAATCCTGAAATGGAGGATCATCCACAAGCTTCGAACAACATCGACAAAGAAAATGTAAACCCTAATTCCAAAATTCAACTTGGCAGCGGAGATTCATCAAATAGCCCTAAAGGTAACATTAATGTTTTTTTTTTCTAATATTCAAATTTCTATTGTGTAATTTTCCGACATGAAATTTATTTCTGATTATTTAATACAATTCAGCTGATGACACAAATGAAGAATGTATCACCGAGGAAGATGCCATTAAGGGAAATTTAAAGAAAATATTCTTAGAGGCTACCGATAAAAGTAAATACGATCCTATGACTTTCTTAAAAATCAAAGAAGAGACAATCAGATCAATTCTGAAAGAAGAACGCTTCAAAAGAAAAAGAATGAAGTTTTACCTTACCTTACAAGTTCGTTTCACCAAGACCAGAGGGGATCAAATTGAGCATGCTGAACCCTTTTTCCACGGACGCTGTCACATAGTTCTCAAAAACGAAGACATCGATTCTGCACTAAGGGAGAGCATCATGAAAATTGTTAACTCTTTTGTTGAATACCAAAGAGAAGGTAGTAACTGGGCACTGGACAAAGTTCTGGGAGTCAACATCCATATCGTCCAATATAAACCGATAAAAGGTTCGAGTTTCCTACCGCTGCCACTAAAACTAGCAAACAAGAAAGCCATCATCAATGTTCAGAATGCTGATTAAAAATGCTTCATGTGGTCAGTGTTGGCATCCCTTTACCCAGTAACAAAGAATCCCCAACGTGTCATTAATTACATTCAGCACGTCGACAAACTCGATTTTACAGACGTCCCATTTCCTGTCAGAATTGGAGATATTCCCAAGTTTGAAAAGAAAAATGACATCTCCATCAATGTGTTTGGCTACGAAAAACGAGAAATCTATCCCCTTCATCTTACCAAAGAGAGGGGTTTGCCTCACGTAGATCTTGTCGTCTTGAACAAGGGGGAAAACTCTCATTACTGTTTGATTAAAGATTTCGATAGACTTCTTAATGATGGTCAAAAAGGAAACGAATTGTTTCACTGCAACTACTGTCTGCATGGGTTTACAAGCAAACGCCTCCTCCAAAAACACGTGTCCTATTGTCAAGTACATGGTGCCCAGCGGACGGAAATGCCCACAGAGGAAAACAAATGGCTTGAGTTTACTGATGTCTCCAAGCAACTTAAAGTTCCGTTTGTCGTTTATGCAGACTTTGAAAGCATCCTCGAGAGGAATTATGGCTGTCAACCGGATCCCAGCAAGTCGTCCACTATCAAATTAGCTAAGCATGTACCCTCTGGGTTTACATATAAAGTTGTTGGAATTTCGCCGGAGATCTCAGAAAATCACGTCACCTATCGTGGTCTTAATGCTGTCGACGTCTTCATTGACCATATGGTTAAACTCGAAGATCGACTTGTGAAGGTCCTACACAATCCAAAACCCATGGATCTGTCTGACGAAGAGGTAAAGGCTTTCCGAAAAGCGACTGATTGTAACATCTGCAACCGAAAACTGAAGGGTGATGCCGTTCGTGATCACTGTCACTTGACAGGAAAATTTAGGGGTGCAGCTCATAGTTCCTGTAATTTAAACTTTAAATTGAGAGAAAGAATCCCGGTATTCTTTCATAATCTCAAAGGCTACGATGCTCATCACATCATGAGTGCTATCGGCAAGTGCAAACACAAAAAGATCAATGGTATCCCCCAAAACCACGAAAAGTATATTTCTTTTTCGTTAGGGAGACTAGATTTTGTCGACACTTTCCAATTTATGTCTACGTCTCTTGACAAGCTCTCTAACAATCTGGCTAAAGAGGGCTTACACAAATTTCCTCACCTTGAAGCATATGTTGCCTCCACTCATCCCGGAAACGAGACAACAAAGTTCCAATTGCTCAGTAGAAAGGGAGTGTACCTGTACCGCTACATGAACTCCTTTAAACGATTCCAAGAGGCGACACTTCCACCACAACAGGCTTTCTACAACGACTTAGACGGAAAGACCATTTCTGATCAGGACTACTTACACGCACAGTGGGTTTGGGACGTATTTCAAATTAAAAATTTAGGGCAATATCACGATCTGTACATGGAGACAGACGTGCATCTTCTGGCAGACGTGTTTGAAAATTTCCGAAGTCTATGCTTAGACATGTATGGTCTCGATGCGGCTCATTTTTACACGGCCCCGGGATTACCCTGGCAGGCCGCTCTGAAAATGACGGGTGTGGAGCTCGAGTTACTAACCGATCCGGACATGCATCTTTTCGTGGAAAAGGGGCTCAGAGGTGGTATTGCTATGATTTCTAAAAGGTACGCGAAAGCTAATAATCAGTATCTTAACGACTACGATCCCCATCAACCTTCGAACTATCTAATGTATTTAGATGCTAACAATCTCTACGGGTGGGCCATGAGTCAGCCTCTTCCAACTCACGATTTTTGTTGGCTAACCCCTGAAGACATTGAAACAATCGACGTCAATACCGTCCCTACGGAGGGGGAAACTGGCTATGTCTTTGAAGTAGATCTGAAATATCCCTCTGAATTGCATGACTGTCACAGTGATTATCCTTTAGCCCCTGAATCATTTAAAATAGAGCCGGAAATGCTTTCGCCTTATCAGAAAGAACTTTTGACAGAGCTTGGAATGAAAGAAGGCTCTGCGATCAAATTAGTCCCCAATCTTTTTGATAAAGAGAAATATGTCGTCCACTACAGAAATTTACAACTCTACCTGGCTTTGGGAATGAGACTGACCAAAGTCTATCGGGTACTGTCATTCAAACAAAGTCCTTGGCTAAAAGCTTACATTGATTTCAATACGAGCATGCGTAAACGGGCTAAGAACGAGTTTGAAAAGGATTTTTTCAAACTCATGAATAATAGTGTCTTTGGAAAGACCATGGAAAATCTGCGTAAGAGAGTGGATATTCAACTTGTTCACCACAAGAAGAGGCTCTTAAAGCTCTCGGCTAAACCTGGATTCAAAGTGTTCAAGATCTTCAACGAAGATCTTGCCTCTGTTGAACTTAGCAAACAAAAATTGGTCCTCAATAGACCAATTTATGTGGGATTTTCCATTTTGGAACTTTCCAAAGTCTTGATGTACGATTTCCACTATAGTTACATCAAAAAAAGGTATGGTGATCGCGCCGCTCTCTGCTTTACAGACACAGACTCTTTGTGCTACGACATATCCACCGAGGATGTGTATGTAGACATGAAGGAGAGTCAGCATTGCTTTGATTTCAGTGATTACCCCGAAACACATTTTCTTCATAGCGATGTCAACAAAAAGGTCTTAGGTAAAATGAAGGATGAATGTCAAGGTCATATCATGCGAGAATTCGTTGTTCTAAAGCCCAAGATGTACAGTTTCATTTACGAAAAGAAAATAGTTCAGAACGAGAACGAATTTATTTGTCAAGAAGAAAAGAAAAGAGCCAAGGGCGTGAAAAAGGCAGTCGTGCAATCGAGCATACAACACGAAACTATAAAAATTGTCTTTTAAAAAAAGAGTTTCAGATGGAGTCGATGGTGGCGTTCAGATCATTTAACCACCAAATATACACCGTTGTTCTAAAAAAAAAAACAGTCTGAGCCCCTTTGACGATAAAAGGCACATCCTTAAGGACGGTATTCATACCTTAGCTCATAGTCATTATAAGACATAAGATGTATTGTGCATTGTTATTATTATTATCATAGGATTGTTATGAAACGGGGTACGTGTCCATTATAGAATATAAGACATAAGATGTATGGGGCGTTGTTATTATTATCATATGTTTGTTATTAAACGATTTACGTGTCCTATGTATAATGCATAAAAAAGTCTGTATAACATGTATTCAGTGTACACAGAATTGTGAATAAATGCATGAAAAACAAGAATATTTTGTTTATTTGAACATGGTTCAGCAAAGGACTCCCGGGGGCACCGCTGCGGATCTTTAGGTTTCCGGAGTCCAAGGTTTCCGGAGTCCAAGGATTCCGGTGACCTTGGATTCCGGAGTTTAAAGACGTCGGAAACTAAGATTCCGGAGTCCATGTATTTTAGAAGAATTGTCGGAGGTGTACAACTTTTTCTATTAACGTGTTCACTTACAAACAATATGCAAATGGAATCACGTGTAAAACATGATAAAAATAAAAACATAAATCATTTTTGCCATAACATAGGAGGACGCCAAAGGGTTAACATGTATCCTTGCAATCTCTGCTCAAGTGTATACGTCTGGCCTGATAGTTTGAAAAGACATGTGAAATATAAACACGGTGTGCAGGTATCCGAAGTGTCACAACAACAACATCAGCAACAACAACAACAACAGCAACAAGAACAACAGCTGCCTTTGTTACAACAACAACAACAGCTGCCTTTCTTACTGCAACAACAGCAACAGCAACAACAGCAGCAACAACAACAGCTGCCTTTGTTACTGCAACAACAACAGCAGCAGCAACAACAGCAGCAGCAACAACAGCTGCCTTTGTTACTGCAACTACAGCAACAACAACAACAACAGCAGCAACAACAACAACAAGAGTTTATGTTTCAACATCCTTTTACGGCTAATGTGTCAGGACCCACCTGCTCTGGCAAGACTTATTTTGTAAAAACGTTGTTGCAACATTGTATGAACAAGATTTCCCCTCCTCCGGAGAGAATATTGTGGCTCTATAAGCGATGGCAACCCCTGTATGACATCATCAAAGCCACTGTGTATCCCTCGGTCGAATTTATACAGGGTATTCCATTAGATTTGGAGCAAGATTCGTTCATTCACCCCGGAACGAGGAATCTTGTGATTCTAGACGATCTCATGTCTACGGCAGCTAAAGATTCTAGAATCAACGAGTTGTTTACGGAGGGTAGTCATCACAGAAATTTGTCAGTCGTGGCTATCAATCAAAATCTGTACTATAACAAAGATCCCACCCAGAGACGAAATTGCCACTGTCTGGTCCTGTTTAACAATCCTGTGGAGAGACAACAAGTCATGACTTTGGCTCGACAGATGTATCCCGAAAATCCTCAACACCTGTTGAGACATTTTAAAGAAGCCATTTCCAAGCCTTATGGATGCCTACTGATCGACTTGAAGCCGACCACACCAGAACATCTGCGCCTGCGCACAAACGTCTTGAATTCTATAAAATCGCAACCTTCAGATGCCATCTCTCATACTCACAACGACACGCCTAGCATTCAGACGCATTCAGAGCTAGATCAATCAACAACCTATCACTCTGCGCAGCATTCTTCAGCTGATCAATTGCAATTCCCAGAAACAGCACCTACCAATCCCGATCCAGACAAGATGCCTTCCTGTGACGATTGTGGTCTTGTGTTCGAAAGCATGCATGACCTCCAGAGACACGTAAAAAGATGGTGTCCCGAAAATTTTTCCCTTAAAAGAAAGGGAAACGATGTGGAAATGGAGGAGGGCCAACCACCTGCAAAATGGATCCCATTCGAACCCATAGAGATGGAAGAAGATGAAGATGACCGCGAACATGAAGTTTTTAACGTTCTCATGGATAAAGCCAAAGAGAACAACGAGACAGAATGGGATCAAAAGTACGATAAATACATCAAAGAGGGATTAACGCGGGAAGAGGCCAGAGCAAAAACCGAGGAAAAGTTGAAGTCAAAAGACTTACAAACGTTCGCTAATAACTATGCCACCCTAATCCAATACATTCTACAATTAAAACACGGTTCCATTCATGCCACTATCATGGACGATGTAGCCGAGTTCCTTTCTAAGGGTTACGGTGAACGCAAGTCCATCAGAATGGCTCTTAATAAAAATCGTCATCTCCTCGACGAAATGTGGGACGACGAAAGTGAGATGGAAACTGATGATCAGGACGACAGTGAAACAGAAGAGTACGAGAGTGAAGAATCCGAGGAAAATGCCTAATTAACTTTTGAGAGAAAAAAAACAGTTTTAAATTACTCAGCTTTTTTAATATTCATTCAGCAATATTATATTTTATAATGTTATATTGCAAGAGTTTTGTGTGAATAAATTAAAAAATAATGATAAAACAAGTGTGATACTCGATGTAAGAGTAAACAATGTAACTTAATACATTGCATTAGAAAACTGATCCCTACTTTTATGTTTTATATGATTTATTTTCTTATGCATTTCTATAAAAATGACTGTATCTTTTGTAAACTTATATCAATAAAATATAAAAATACATCAGATGTGTTGTTTTGTGTGACATAAAACCATTTATTTCTAGATCATGTGACTCAAGCAGTATATATTTGTTAGAGGATCACATGTATGACCCATTTCTCAGTCGTCAGTCAAGGAAGTAACATGTCTTGGGAGGATTATCTCAAGCAAATTTATTACGACCCTGTTAATGCTGGAAGTTTTTCGGGACCAGACAAACTGTATCGATATGTACGCAAACAAGGAAAATATGTCCTGAGCAAATACAAGATCAGGAAATGGTTACAGAGGCAAGAAGCATACAGTCTACAGAGACATATTCGAAGGCAATTCAAAAGAAATAAAGTCATCACCCTTGGCATTGATGATCAATGGGATGCAGATCTCATGGACATGTCCAAATATGCCAAGCAAAACGATGGGGTTACTTTTGTCCTCGTTGTTATAGATATTTTCTCCAAGTTTCTGTGGATGCGTCCTCTAAAGGACAAAAAGGGTCAAAGCGTCACTTCAGCCTTTGCAAACATACTTCAAGAAGGTCGACGTCCGACACGAATCCGTACAGATAAAGGACAGGAATTCCGATCCCGAGCCTTTAACGCTCTATTGAATGATCAAAACATCGAGCATTTATACGCTCAGAACACTGAAGTCAAAGCCAATTATGCAGAGAGGGTGATTAAAACAATTAAATCTAAAATATATAGATTCATCACGTTCAAACAAAACCATCGCTATGTGGATCACCTTCAAGACTTTGCCATCAATTATAATGCAACATACCATAGAACCATAGGCATGCCTCCCAAAAATGTGACCAAGTCGAAAGAGACGAACTTATGGTGGAAAATGTATTGGCCAAAGAAGACTCCTATAATACCAAAGACTAAGAGAGTGAGGAAACCTTTCAGGTTTAAGATAGGGGATCGTGTTCGGATTAGTCATCTACGAAACGTCTTTACTCGCGAATATGACGAAAAGTGGTCAGGGGAGATATTCGTCGTATCCGAGAGACATTTAAGAGGAGGATTGCCCATATACAGACTCAAAGACTATTTAAACGAAGAAATCAAAGGAACTTTTTATCAAAATGAATTGCAAAAAGTGGACGTTCGTGAAGATGACGTGTTTAAAGTAGAAAAGATCATAAAAACAAAAGGCCGAGGAGACAATAAACAATATCTTGTAAAATGGTTACACTGGCCTTCCAAATTTAATTCGTGGGTCAATGCCAATGATGTACAAACTTATAGCTGAATCTTTTCCAAATTGTATACCTAATTTCATCATCATAAAAGCAAGTTTGTGAATGAAATTATTTATGTATAATTAATGCATATGTCTATAAAAATGTATACATGTATGCTATTGTTTTTGCTTCATCTCAACAATAAATGTGAGATTAAAAATCAGTTTGCTTGTTAATATTTTCTTTGAATTGAGTTGTACATATTTTTTTGGCTAAGAGTCAAAAGGATTATTTAATCCTAGTCCTTCATTGGACTATTATTTGAAGGTTTTGTGTTCTTACTTTTGTTTATAAAAGTAAAAAAAAAAAACAGATTATACGTGTTCTCTAAATGAGGACATGAGTTATTCTGAAAATTAAAAATTCGTTCTTATGTCATAAAAGTATCCCGTAAGATTTAAAGCCTCGTGTCCTTTGATAACTTTTCACCTGCAAATGTTTCGGTTAACTGATGCCCCATTTAAATGTCTCATTCAACAACGTCCCATTTTAAACCTCCATTGTACACATTTTCAATACACCATTAATGGATCGTACAACAGAGTTTAACGTCATGGGAAAAAAAACCCATTAAGGACCACAAAGGACCCTTTGCGATCCCTTTATTGACTTTATCGTTTACAGGGTCTCGTCTGATCATGGCGATTATTTCTTTTGTTTCCTTCAACAATGACCGTAATTTATTTCCTTGACGTTGCGGAATTTCCCATTCTAAATTAAGAAAATGCTTTTATTCAATTCTATGACCTATTGTTTCAAGATATAATACTCAGTGACGTCACAGGATTATCGATCTCTTCTTTTGATTCAATGACCAATTGTTTTAAATCATTCAAGCATGCAGATTGATTTTTGTCTCCATGGTGATTGATGATGTCATTGGCTCCACAGCTCTACTGTGGAGCCCCATGTTAAGTATCTGTGTCAGAAAGGGTACTTTTACACTACTGAAAGACACCCTTATCACAGTAAATACCAACTGTTTCTTGCAAGCACATTTTTATACGTGAACTAAAGCAGACGATGAAATATTACAGATGTACATCACGGACCAATGCTCTCCTA